CCCCAAAACCCCAAAACCCCAAAACCCCAAAACCCCACTAAAGATTTTATATATTGAGATTGCAGTTTAGCATTATCAATGGAGCCTAATATGGATAATGAGTATGACTTAGACCAAATGATTGACACTCTGACCCAGTTCAAGTACTTACCTCAGAAACAGCTAGAGTATCTCTGAGAAACCTGCACTGCCATCGTTGCTAAAGAGCCTAACTGAGTCGAGCTGCAAGCTCCAGTCAATGTGTGTGGGAGCCTGCTTGGCAGAATGAGTTCGCTCCAAGAACTCTTTAACGTGTGAGGACACCCACCTGAGGCTGACTTTTTGTTTCTGGGCAACTACTGCAACGTCGGCAAATTCGGAGTTGAAATTATATCACTGTTGATGGCTCTTAAAATAAAGCACCCAACAAGGGTCACTCTTCTGAGAGGGAAATTTGATAACTGGAATTTATGAGAAAGAAAAGGTTTTTTTGAAGAATGAGAATTAAAGTATGGAAATGACTACCCCTTTACTCTGATTCTAAACTTCTTCAAGCACTTGCCTCTATGCGCAGTGATAAACAAGAGTATATTCTGCACACCTTCTGGCATTCCTCGGTGGATGCAAGTGATAGATGAAATATTTGAGGTTGACAGGTTCGAAGAGAGTGACTACGATAGTCCACTGCAAGAGTTCAGCTGGAATCAAGCTGATGAACGGAAGGGCTGGAACATCAGCCATTTAGGAACAGGCTTCTGCTACGGAGAAGATGCCACCGATACATTTTTAGATGACAATGACTTTGATAATGCAGAGGGACAGGGGTTCGTAATTGCCTCTTCAAAACCCTTGAGTGAGGGGTATCAGTGGGCTCATGGCAAAAAGATCTTATTCATTCAATCGTGTCCTAGTAAGTTCAAGTGGGAGTCAAACAGCTCTGCTTTTGCATGTTTAGATGAGTATCTTAGACTAACAATCCACCAGTTCCAGCCCATTGCTGACTATCATTCTTTTCCTGAGTAAATGTTCAATATTTTGTGTGAATTTAGGGGTTTTGGGGTTTTGGGGTTTTGGGGTTTTGGGG